GATGGATGGGATGGGATGGGATGGGATGGGATGGGATGGGATGGGATGTGGGATCACGTGACGCACTGGGTGGCGTGTGGTCACGTGCCGCCGCGCTGCTCTCCCATTGGCAGCCAAGGAGAGCCTGGGGGGGCTGCGCCTGCTCCGCCGCGCCGGATGGGATGGGATTGATGGGATGGGATGGATGGGATGGATGGGATGGGATGGGGTGGATGGGATGGGATGGGATGGGATGGGATGGATGGGATGGATGGGATGGGATGGGATGGATGGGATGGGATGGGATGGGATGGGATGGGATGGATGGGATGGATGGGATGGGATGGGATGGGATGGATGGGATGGGATGGGATGGGATGGGATGGGATGGATGGGATGGGATGGGATGGATGGGATGGGATGGATGGGATGGGATGGATGGGATGGGATGGGATGGATGGGATGGGATGTGGGATCACGTGACGCACTGGGTGGTGTGTGGTCACGTGCCGCCGCGCTGCTCTCCCATTGGCAGCCAAGGAGAGCCTGGGGGGGCTGCGCCTGCTCCGCCGCGCCGACTTCCACGTGGGGGCGCGCGTGAACGCGTTCTGGAGGACCCGCTGCCGGGGGGGAGGGGAGGGCGGGGCCCGGCGGGGGAGCGCCTGGGACCAGCGCCACGTCACGTGGTTCGGTATGGACACGCCCCCTAACCCCCCCCCCCCCATGTGACCAACCCCCCATGTGACCAACCCCCCCCATGTGATCCCCCATTGTGTCCTATGGGACCAGCGCCACGTCACGTGGTTTGGTATGGACACGCCCCCTTACGCCCCCCCATGTGACCCCTCCCATGTGACCAACCCCCCATGTGACCAACCCCCCCATGTGATCCCAACATTGTGTCCTATGGGACCAGTGCCATGTCACGTGGTTCGGTATGGACACGCCCCCTTCCCCACCCCCATGTAACCAACCCCCCATGTGACACACCCCATGACCCCACGCTGACCTCGCTGTGACCCCCATGACCCCACAATGACCCCCATGACCCCGCGTTGACCCCCATGCCCCCACGCTGACCCCCATGACCCCACACTGACCCCCATCTCCCCTCCCCCCGCTGACCCCCATGATCCCACACTGACCTCGCTGTGACCCCCATGACCCGGCGATGACCCCCATGACCCCACGCTGACCCCCATGACCCCGCGCTGACCCCCAAGACCCCCCGCTGACCCCCATGACCCCATGCTGACCTTGCTGTGACCCCCATGACCCTACACTGACCCCCATGACCATGCGCTGACCCCCATCTCCCCTCCCCCCGCTGACCCCCATGACCCCATGCTGACCCCATGGTGAACCCCATGACCCCACGCTGACCTCGCTGTGACCCCCATGACCCTGCACTGACCCCCATGACCCCGCACTGACCTCGTGCTGACCCCCATGACCCCACAGTGACCCCCATGACCCCATGATGACCTCGCTGTGACCCCCATGCCCCCACGCTGACCCCCATGACCCCACGCTGACCCCCATGACCCCACGCTGACCCCCATCTCCCCCCGCTGACCCCCATGACCCCACGCTGACCTCGCTGTGACCCCCATGACCCCGCACTGACCCCCATGACCCCACGCTGACCCCGATGACCCCGCACTGACCCCCATGACCCCACGCTGACCCCGATGACCCCGCACTGACCCCCATGACCCCACGCTGACCCCCATGACCCCACGCTGACCCCCATGACCCCACGCTGACCCTCCCTTCTCCCCTCCCCCCGATGACCCCCATGACCCCACGGTGACCCCCATGACCCCACGCTGACCTCGCTGTGACCCCCATGACCCCACACTGACCCCCATGACCCCACCCTGACCCCCATGACCCCACCCTGACCTTGCTCTGACCTCCATGACCCCTCAGTGACCCCCATGACCCCTCAGTGACCCCCATGACCCCATGCTGACCCCCATGACCTCGCTGTGACCCCCATGACCCCGTGCTGACCCCATGACCCCACCCTGACCCCCATGCCCCCACACTGACCCCCTTCTCCCCTCCCCCCCGCTGACCCCCATGACCCCACGGTGACCTCGCTGTGACTCCCATGACCCCACCCTGACTCCCATGCCCCCACACTGACCCCCATGACCCCACACTGACCTCGCTGTGACCCCCATGCCCCCACACTGACCCCTATGACCCCATGCTGACCCTTTCTCCCCTCCCCCCGCTGACCCCCATGACCCCACGCTGACCTCGCTGTGACCCCCATGACCCTGCACTGACCCCCATGACCCCACGCTAACCCCCATGACCCCACACTAACCCCCATGACCCCATGCTGACCCCTGTCCCCCCTCCCCCTGCTGACCCCCATGCCCCCACACTGACCCCCCGTTCTCCCCTCCCCCCTCCCCCCTCCCCCCTCCCCCCCCAGCCACCCTGGACGGGGCCCTGGGGCTGCTCCTCCCCATGCAGGAGAAACCCTACCGGCGGCTGCTCATGCTGCAGAACGCGCTCAGCACCGCCCTGCCCCACCTCGCGGGGCTCAACCCCCGCGCGTACAGGTACCCGCTGCGCCCCAGAGCGACCCATAGGGACCATAGAGACCCATAGAGACCCATAGAGACCCATAGAGACCCATAGAGACCCATAGAGACCCATAGAGACCATAGAGACCCATAGAGACCCATAGAGACCCATAGAGACCCATAGAGACCATAGCGACCCATAGAGACCCATAGGGACCCATAGGGACCCATAGAGACCCATAGAGACCCATAGAGACCCATAGGGACACATAGAGACCATAGAGACCCATAGAGACCCATAGAGACCCATAGGGACCCATAGAGACCCATAGAGACCCATAGAGACCCATAGAGACCCATAGAGACCCATAGAGACCCCATAGAGACCCCATAGAGACCCATAGAGACCCATAGAGACCCATAGGGACCCATAGAGACCCATAGAGACCCATAGAGACCCCAGTGCTCAGCACCGCCCTGCCCCACCTCGCGGGGCTCAACCCCCGCGCGTACAGGTACCCGCTGCGCCCCAGAGCGACCCATAGAGACCCATAGAGACCCATAGAGACCCATAGAGACCCATAGAGACCCATAGAGACCATAGCGACCCATAGAGACCCATAGGGACCCATAGGGACCCATAGAGACCCATAGAGACCCATAGAGACCCATAGGGACACATAGAGACCATAGAGACCCATAGAGACCCATAGAGACCCATAGGGACCCATAGAGACCCATAGAGACCCATAGAGACCCCAGTGCTCAGCACCGCCCTGCCCCACCTCGCGGGGCTCAACCCCCGCGCGTACAGGTACCCGCTGCGCCCCAGAGCGACCCATAGGGACCATAGAGACCCATAGAGACCCATAGAGACCCATAGAGACCCATAGAGACCCATAGAGACCATAGGGACCCATAGAGACCCATAGAGACCCATAGAGACCCATAGAGACCCATAGGGACCCATAGGGACCCATAGAGACCATAGAGACCCATAGAGACCCATAGGGACCCATAGGGACCCATAGGGACCCATAGGGACCCATAGAGACCCATAGGGACCCATAGAGACCCATAGAGCCCATAGAGACCCATAGAGACCATAGAGACCCATAGAGACCCATAGGGACCATAGAGACCCATAGAGCCCCATAGGGACCCACTGCACACAGGAGAAACCCTACCGGCGGCTGCTCATGCTGCAGAACGCGCTCAGCACCGCCCTGCCCCACCTCGCGGGGCTCAACCCCCGCGCGTACAGGTACCCGCTGCGCCCCAGAGCGACCCATAGCGACCCATAGCACCCATAGAGACCCATAGAGACCCATAGGGACCATAGAGACCCATAGAGACCCATAGGGACCCATAGAGACCCATAGAGACCCATAGGGACCCATAGAGACCATAGGGACCCATAGAGACCCATAGGGACCCATAGAGACCATAGAGACCCATAGGGACCCATAGAGACCCATAGAGACCCATAGGGACCCATAGAGACCCATAGAGACCCATAGGGACCCATAGAGACCCATAGAGACCCATAGAGACCCATAGGGACCCATAGAGACCATAGAGACCCATAGAGACCCATAGAGACCCATAGAGACCATAGAGACCCATAGCACCCATAGAGACCCATAGAGACCCATAGAGACCCATAGAGACCCATAGGGACCCATAGAGACCCCAGTGCTCAGCACCGCCCTGCCCCACCTCGCAGGGCTCAACCCCCGCGCGTACAGGTACCCGCTGCGCCCCATAGCGACCCATAGGGACCATAGGGACCCATAGAGACCCATAGAGACCATAGAGACCATAGAGACCCATAGAGACCCATAGAGACCCATAGAGACCCATAGAGACCCATAGAGACCCATAGGGACCATAGGGACCCATAGAGACCCATAGAGACCCATAGAGACCCATAGAGACCCATAGAGACCCATAGGGACCCATAGGGACCCATAGAGACCCATAGAGACCCATAGACACCCATAGAGACCCATAGAGACCCATAGAGACCATAGGGACCCATAGAGACCCATAGGGACCCATAGGGACCCATAGAGACCCATAGAGACCCATAGAGACCCATAGAGACCCATAGAGACCCATAGGGACACATAGAGACCCATAGAGACCCATAGAGACCATAGAGACCCATAGAGACCATAGAGACCCATAGACACCATAGAGACCCATAGAGACCCATAGAGACTCATAGAGACCCATAGAGACCCATAGACACCATAGAGACCCATAGAGACCCATAGAGACCCATAGGGACCCATAGAGACACATAGAGACCCATAGAGACCCATAGAGACCCATAGAGACCATAGAGACCCATAGAGACCCATAGAGACCCATAGAGACCCATAGAGACCCATAGCACCCATAGAGACCCATAGAGACCATAGAGACCCATAGAGACCCATAGAGACCCATAGCACCCATAGAGACCCATAGAGACCCATAGAGACCATAGAGACCCATAGAGACCCCAGTGCTCAGCACCGCCCTGCCCCACCTCGCGGGGCTCAACCCCCGCGCGTACAGGTACCCGCTGCGCCCCATAGCGACCCATAGGGACCATAGGGACACATAGAGACCCATAGAGACCCATAGGGACCATAGAGACCATAGAGACCCATAGAGACCCATAGAGACCCATAGAGACCCATAGAGACCATAGAGACCCATAGAGACCATAGAGACCCATAGAGACCCATAGAGACCCATAGAGACCATAGAGACCCATAGAGACCCATAGAGACCCATAGAGACCCATAGGGACCATAGAGACCCATAGAGACACATAGAGACCCATAGGGACCATAGAGACCCATAGAGACCCATAGAGACCATAGAGACCCATAGCGACCCATAGAGACCCATAGAGACACATAGAGACCCATAGGGACCCATAGAGACCCATAGAGACCCATAGGGACACATAGAGACCCCACAGCGCCCTATAGCGGTCCCACAGAGCCGCATAGTGGCATATAGCGCCCATAGAGACCCATAGAGACCCATAGGGACACATAGAGACCCCACAGCGCCCTATAGCGGTCCCGCAGAGCCGCATAGAGACCCCACAGAGCCCCATAGTGACCCCACAGAGACCCCCCCAGTGCCCCATAGTGGTCCCATAGATCCCCACAGAGACCCCCCCAGCGCCCCCTGGTGGCCCCACAGAGACCCCACAGAGCGCCCCATAGTGGCCCCATAGACCCCCACAGAGCCCCATAGTGCTCCCATATATCCCCATAGAGACCCCACAGCGCCCCATAGGGGTCCCATAGACCCCCACAGAGCCCCATAGTGCTCCCATATATCCCCATAGAGACCCCACAGCGCCCCATAGGGGTCCCATAGATCCCCACAGAGACCGCCCAGCGCCCCCCTAACGACCCCATAGATCCCCATAGAGCCGCACAGAGCCCCATAGCGGTCCCACAGAGTCCCCTCAGAGCCCCATAGAGCCCCATAGCGGTCCCATAGAGCCCCATAGTGGCCCCATAGACCCCCCATAGAGACCCCCCCAGTGCCCATAGCGGTCCCATAGATCCCCACAGAACCCCATAGTGGTCCCATAGATCCCCATAGATACCTCACAGTGCCCCATAGCGGCCCCACAGAGACCCCCCCAGCGCCCCATAGAGACCCCACAGCGCCCCATAGCGGTCCCACAGAGCCACACAGAGCCCCATAGCGGTCCCACAGAGCCACACAGAGACCCCCCAGCACCCCACAGCAGTCCCATAGAGCCGCACAGAGCCCCATAGTGGTCCCATAGAGACCCCACAGAGCCCCATAGTGGTCCCATAGAGCCGCACAGAGCCCCATAGCATCCCCATAGACCCCCACAGAGCCCCCCTAGCGGCCCCACAGAGACTCCCCAGCACCCCATAGTGGTCCCATAGATCCCCATAGAGCCCCACAGAGCCCCATAGCAGTCCCATAGAGACCCCACAGCGCCCCATAGCGGCCCCACAGAGACAACCCCCAGCGCCCCATAGCGGTCCCACAGCGCCCCATAGGGGTCCCACAGAGACCCCACAGAGACCCATAGCGGCCCCACAGAGACCCCCCCCCCAGCGCCCCCCCATAGCTGCCCCACAGCAGTTTCCCCATAGGCGCTGTGGGGCGGGGGCTGTGGGGCGGGGGCTGTGGGGCGGTGACGCGAGGGCGGTGGCTGTGGGGTGGGGGCTGTGGGGCGGGGGCTGTGGGGCTGGAGGCTGTGGGGTGGGGGCTGTGGGGCAGCTGTGGGGTGGTGACGCAAGGGCGGGGGCTGTGGGGCGGTGACGCGAGGGTGGGGGCTGTGGGGCGGTGGCTGTGGGGCTGTGGCTGTGGGGCAGGGGCTATGGGGTGGTGATGCGAGGGCTGTGGCTGTGGGGCAGCTGTGGGGCAGTGGCTGTGGGGCAGCTGTGAGGCAGCTGTGGGGCTGGGGGCTATGGGGCAGCTGTGGGGCGGTGACGCGAGGGCGGTGGCCGTGGGGCGGTGGCTGTGGGGCAGCTATGGGGCTGTGGCTGTGGGGCAGTGGCTGTGGGGCAGCTGTGGGGCTGGGGGCTATGGGGCGGTGACTGTGGGGCAGCTGTGGGGCGGGGGCTGTGGGGCGGGGGCTGTGGGGCGGTGACGCGAGGGCGGTGGCTGTGGGGCAGCTGTGGGGCAGTGGCTGTGGGGCAGCTGTGGGGCGGGCGCTATGGGGTGGTGACGCGAGGGCGGTGGCTGTGGGGCAGCTGTGGGGCAGCTATGGGGCAGTGACGTGAGGGTGGTGGCTGTGGGGCAGTGGCTGTGGGGCTGGGGTCTATGGGGCAGTGACGCGAGGGCGGGGGCTGTGGGGCTGTGGCTGTGGGGCGCTGTGGGGCTGGGGGCTATGGGGCAGCTGTGGGGCGGGGGATGTGGGGCGGGGGCTGTGGGGCAGCTGTGGGGCGGTGATGCGAGGGCGGTGGCTGTGGGGCGGTGGCTGTGGGGCAGCTGTGGGGCGGTGGCCGTGGGGCAGCTGTGGGGCGCTGTGGGGCGGTGACGCGAGGGCAGTGGCTGTGGGGCAGCTGTGGGGCAGCTGTGGGGTGGTGACGCGAGGGCGGGGGCTGTGGGGCAGCTGTGGGGCGGGCGCTGTGGGGCTGGGGGCTATGGGGCTGTGGGGCAGCTGTGGGGCGGGCGCTGTGGGGCTGGGGTCTATGGGGCAGTGACGCGAGGGCGCCCCCTGCAGGCTGCTCCAGGCCGGGCGCCGCGCGCTGCAGAACGCGGTGCGGAACGTCCTGGACGGGGAGCTCCTGGCCCGGTTCCTGCAGCTCAGCGCCATGGAGAGGGGGGAGGTGGCCAAGAAAATTGGGACCACACCCGAGATGGTGAGGGGGGAGGGGCGGCAGCGAGGGGGGGAGGGGAGGGGGGAGGGGAGGCAACGAGGGGGGGAGGGGAATGGGGGCACCCCAGAGATGGGGAGGGGGGAGGGGAGGGGAATGGGGGCAGCACCCCAGAGATGGTGAGGGGGGAGGGGCGGCAGCGAGGGGGGGAGGGGAGGGAGCGAGGGGGGGGGGAGCACCCCAGAGATGGGGAGGGGGGAGGGGCAGCGAGGGGGGAGGGGGGAGGGGAGGGGGCACCCCGGAGATGGGGAGGGGGGTGGAGAGGGGAACGGGGGGGGAGGGGAGGGACCACCCCAGAGATGAGGAGGGGGGAGGGGAGGCAACGAGGGGGGGAGGGGAGGGGAAGGGGGGGGGGGGAGGGAGCACCCCAGAGATGGGGAGGGGGGAGGGGCAGCGAGGGGGGGAGGGGAGGGGAATGGGGGGAGATGGGGGAGGGGCAGCAACGAGATGGGGGGGGGGAGAGGGGAATGGGGGAGGGGCATTGGCGGGGGGGATGGGGGCAGCACCCCAGAGATGGGGAGGGGGGAGGGGCAGCAACGAGGGGGAATGGGGGAGGGGAGGGAGCACCCCAGAAATGGGGAGGGGGGAGGGGAGGGGGCAGCACCCCGGAGATGGGGAGGGGGGAGGGGAGGGGAATGGGGGAGGGGCATTGGGGGGGATGGGGGGGGGGATGGGGGAGGGGCAGCACCGAGATGGGGGGGGGGGGAGAGGGGAATGGGGGAGGGGCATTGGGGGGGGGATGGGGCAGCACCCCCGAGATGGTGAGGGGGGGGAGGGGCACCGAGATGGGGGGAGGGGAGAGTATGGGGGAGGGGGGCACCGAGATGGGGGGGAGGGGGAGGGGGGGTCGCACCGAGATGGGGAGGGGGGAATGGGGGAGGTGATGGGGAAGGGGCAGCACCGAGATGGGGGGAGGGGGGAAGGGGATGGGGGCAGCACCTCGGGGGGGGGGGGGGGGGAGGGGAACACCACCCCTGAGATGGGGAGGGGGGAATGGGGGAGGGGCGTGATGGTGGATGGGGGGGGAGGGGCAGCACCGAGATGGGGAGGGGCGAAGGGGAGGGGGGACATGGGGGGTTGATGGGGGCACAACCTCTGAGATGGGGAGGGGGGAGGGGCATGATGGGGGATGGGGGAGAGGGGGGAAATGGGGGGGCAGCGGACATGGGGGGGAGGGGCACCCCAGAGATGGGGGGGGGAGGGAGGGGGACATGGGGGGGGACATGGTGGCAGCACCCCCGAGATGGGGAGCGGGGGGGAGGTTGGGCCTGGGCTATGGGGCAGGAATGTGGGGCTGCGCCATGGGGCTGGATGGGGGGGGGGGGATATGGGGCAGGGCTATGGAGATGCAAAGATGTGGGGCTGGGGACACCGTGGGGCTGGGCTATGGGGCTGTGGGACAGGGACCTAGGGGTGGGCTCTGCCCCACATCCCCCCTCCCCCGCTGTGGGTCACTGATGCCTCTTCCTCCCCCCAACCAGATCCTGGACGACCTCTTGGAGATCGACCGAGTGACGGCTCATTTCTGAGGGCTCTGCCCCACATCACCCCACACATTGCCCCACATCACCCCACACATTGCCCCACATCACCCCACGCATTGCCCCACACATTCCAGCCCCACACTGAGCCTCGTGATGTTTCTGTGCCCCCATTTTATAAAGAAACAGGAAAAGCCAGGCTGCTTCATGGGGGCCTGGTTATGGGGCAGGGTGGGGGTCGCTATGGGGCAGGTTTGGGGTCGCTATAGAGCGGGCTGGGGGTCACTATGGGGCAGGTTGGGTTTGCTGTGGGGCAGGTTTGGGGTCACTATAGAGCGGGCTGGGGGTCACTGGGGCAGGTTGGAGTTGCTATGGGGCAGGTTTAGGGTCGCTATGGGGCAGGTTGGGGTGGCTATGGGGCAGGTTGGGGTCACTATAGAGCGGGGTGGGGGTCACTGTGGGGCAGGTTGGGGTGGCTATGGGGCAGGTTGGGGTTGCTATGGGGCAGGTTTGGGGTCACTATGTGGCAGGTTGGGGTCGCTATAGAGCGGGCTGGGGGTCGCTATGGGGCAGGTTGGGGTCACTATGGGGCAGGTTTGGGGTCACTATGGGGCAGGTTGGGGTCGCTATGGGGCAGGTTGGGGTTGCTATGGGGCAGGTTGGGGGTCACTATGGGGCAGGTTGGGGTTGCTATGGGGCAGGTTGGGGGTCGCTATGGGGCAGGTTGGGGTTGCTATGGGGCAGGTTGGGGTTGCTATGGGGCAGGTTGGGGTTGCTATGGAGCGGGCTGGGGGTCACTGTGGGGCAGGTTGGGATTGCTATGGGGCAGGTTGGGATCGCTATAGAGCGGGCTGGGGGTCACTGGGGCAGGTTGGGGACGCTATGGGGCAGGTTTGGGGTCACTATGGGGCAGGTTTGGGGTCACTATGGGGCAGGTTTGGGGTTGCTATGGGGCAGGTTGGGGTCACTATGGGGCAGGTTTGGGGTTGCTATGGGGCAGGTTGGGATCGCTATAGAGCGGGCTGGGGGTCACTGGGGCAGGTTGGGGACGCTATGGGGCAGGTTTGGGGTCACTATGGGGCAGGTTTGGGGTCACTATGGGGCAGGTTTGGGGTTGCTATGGGGCAGGTTGGGGTCACTATGGGGCAGGTTTGGGGTCACTATGGGGCAGGTTGGGGTCACTATGGGGCAGGTTGGGGTCGCTATAGAGCGGGCTGGGGGTCACTGTGGGGCAGGTTGGGGTTGCTATGGGGCAGGTTTGGGGTCACTATGGGGCAGGTTGGGGTCGCTATGGGGCAGGTTTGGGGTCACTATGGGGCAGGTTTGGGGTCGCTATGGGGCAGGTTGGGGTTGCTATGGGGCAGGTTGGGGGTCACTATGGGGCAGGTTGGGGTTGCTATGGGGCAGGTTTGGGGTCACTATGGGGCAGGTTGGGGTCGCTATAGAGCGGGCTGGGGGTCGCTATGGGGCAGGTTGGGGTCACTATGGGGCAGGTTTGGGGTCACTATGGGGCAGGTTGGGGTCGCTATGGGGCAGGTTGGGGTCGCTATAGAGCAGGCTGGGGGTCACTGTGGGGCAGGTTGGGGTTGCTATGGGGCAGGTTGGGGTTGCTATGGGGCAGGTTGGGGACGCTATGGGGCAGGTTGGGGTTGCTATGGGGCAGGCGGGGGGTCACTATGGGGCAGGTTGGGGTTGCTATGGGGCAGGTTTGGGGTCACTATGGGGCAGGTTGGGGTGGCTATAGAGCAGGTTGGGGGTCACTGTGGGGCAGGTTGGGGTTGCTATGGGGCAGGTTTGGGGTCACTATGGGGCAGGTTGGGGTTGCTATGGGGCAGGTTGGGGGTCACTATGGGGCAGGCTGCGGGTTGCTATGGGGCAGGTTGGGGGTCACTATGGGGCAGGTTGGGGTCGCTATGGGGCAGGTTGGGGTTGCTATGGAGCGGGCTGGGGGTCACTGTGGGGCAGGTTGGGGTTGCTATGGGGCAGGTTTAGGGTCGCTATGGGGCAGGTTGGGATCGCTATAGAGCGGGCTGGGGGTCACTGGGGCAGGTTGGGGACGCTATGGGGCAGGTTTGGGGTCACTATGGGGCAGGTTGGGGTTGCTATGGGGCAGGTTGGGGTGGCTATGGGGCAGGTTGGGGTTGCTATGGGGCAGGTTGGGGTCACTATGGGGCAGGTTGGGGTCGCTATAGAGCGGGCTGGGGGTCACTATGGGGCAGGTTGGGGTTGCTATGGGGCAGGTTGGGGTTGCTATGGGGCAGGTTTAGGGTCACTATGGGGCAGGTTGGGGTTGCTATGGGGCAGGTTGGGGTCACTATGGGGCAGGTTTGGGGTCGCTATGGGGCAGGTTGGGGTTGCTATGGGGCAGGTTGGGGGTCACTATGGGGCAGGTTGGGGTTGCTATGGGGCAGGTTTGGGGTCACTATGGGGCAGGTTGGGGTCGCTATAGAGCGGGCTGGGGGTCGCTATGGGGCAGGTTGGGGTTGCTATGGGGCAGGTTGGGGGTCACTATGGGGCAGGTTGGGGTCGCTATGGGGCAGGTTGGGGTTGCTATGGGGCAGGTTGGGATCGCTATAGAGCGGGCTGGGGGTCACTGGGGCAGGTTGGGGACGCTATGGGGCAGGTTTGGGGTCACTATGGGGCAGGTTTGGGGTTGCTATGGGGCAGGTTGGGGTCACTATGGGGCAGGTTTGGGGTCACTATGGGGCAGGTTGGGGTTGCTATGGGGCAGGTTGGGGTCACTATGGGGCAGGTTGGGGTCGCTATAGAGCGGGCTGGGGGTCACTGTGGGGCAGGTTGGGGTTGCTATGGGGCAGGTTGGGGTTGCTATGGGGCAGGTTTAGGGTCACTATGGGGCAGGTTGGGGTTGCTATGGGGCAGGTTGGGGTCACTATGGGGCAGGTTTGGGGTCGCTATGGGGCAGGTTGGGGTTGCTATGGGGCAGGTTTGGGGTTGCTATGGGGCAGGTTTGGGGTCACTATGGGGCAGTTTGGGGTGGCTATGGGGCAGGTTTGGGACGCTATGTGGCGGGTTGGGGATGCTATGGGGTGGTTTGGGCTCACTATGGGGCAGGCTGGAGATTTCTATAGAGCAGGCTTGGAGTCTCTATGGGGCAGGCTGGGGGTTGCTATGGGGCAGGTTGGGGGTCACTATGGGGCAGGTTGGGGGTCGCTATGGGTCAGGTTGGGGGTCACTATGGGGCAGGTTGGGGGTCGCTGTGGGTCAGGTTGGGGTCGCTATGGGGCAGGTTTAGGGTCGCTATGGGGCAGGTTGGGATCACTACGAGCAGGTTGTGGTCACTATGGGGCAGGTTGGGGTTGCTATGGGGCAGGTTTAGGGTCGCTATGGGGCAGGTTTGGGACGCTATGGGGCGGGTTGGGGATGCTATGGGGTGGTTTGGGGTCACTATGGGGCAGGCTGGAGATTTCTATAGAGCAGGCTTGGAGTCTCTATGGGGCAGGCTGGGGGTTGCTATGGGGCAGGCTGGGGGTCGCTATGGGGCAGGCTTGGAGTCTCAATGGGGCAGGTTGGGGGTCGCTATGGGGCAGGTTGGGGGTCGCTGTGGGTCAGGTTGGGGTCGCTATGGGGCAGGTTTAGGGTCGCTATGGGGCAGGTTGGGATCACTACGAGCAGGTTGTGGTCACTATGGGGCAGGTTGGGGTTGCTATGGGGCAGGTTTAGGGTCGCTATGGGGCAGGTTTGGGACGCTATGGGGCGGGTTGGGGATGCTATGGGGTGGTTTGGGGTCACTATGGGGCAGGCTGGAGATTTCTATAGAGCAGGCTTGGAGTCTCTATGGGGCAGGCTGGGGGTTGCTATGGGGCAGGTTGGGGGTCACTATGGGGCAGGTTGGGGGTCGCTATGGGTCAGGTTGGGGGTCACTATGGGGCAGGTTGGGGGTCGCTGTGGGTCAGGTTGGGGTCGCTATGGGGCAGGTTTAGGGTCGCTATGGGGCAGGTTGGGATCACTACGAGCAGGTTGTGGTCACTATGGGGCAGGTTGGGGTTGCTATGGGGCAGGTTTAGGGTCGCTATGGGGCAGGTTTGGGACGCTATGGGGCGGGTTGGGGATGCTATGGGGTGGTTTGGGGTCACTATGGGGCAGGCTGGAGATTTCTATAGAGCAGGCTTGGAGTCTCTATGGGGCAGGCTGGGGGTTGCTATGGGGCAGGTTGGGGGTCACTATGGGGCAGGTTGGGGGTCGCTATGGGTCAGGTTGGGGGTCACTATGGGGCAGGTTGGGGGTCGCTGTGGGTCAGGTTGGGGTCGCTATGGGGCAGGTTTAGGGTCGCTATGGGGCAGGTTGGGATCACTACGAGCAGGTTGTGGTCACTATGGGGCAGGTTGGGGTTGCTATGGGGCAGGTTTAGGGTCGCTATGGGGCAGGTTTGGGACGCTATGGGGCGGGTTGGGGATGCTATGGGGTGGTTTGGGGTCACTATGGGGCAGGCTGGAGATTTCTATAGAGCAGGCTTGGAGTCTCTATGGGGCAGGCTGGGGGTTGCTATGGGGCAGGTTGGGGGTCACTATGGGGCAGGTTGGGGGTCGCTATGGGTCAGGTTGGGGGTCACTATGGGGCAGGTTGGGGGTCGCTGTGGGTCAGGTTGGGGTCGCTATGGGGCAGGTTTAGGGTCGCTATGGGGCAGGTTGGGATCACTACGAGCAGGTTGTGGTCACTATGGGGCAGGTTGGGGTTGCTATGGGGCAGGTTTAGGGTCGCTATGGGGCAGGTTTGGGACGCTATGGGGCGGGTTGGGGATGCTATGGGGTGGTTTGGGGTCACTATGGGGCAGGCTGGAGATTTCTATAGAGCAGGCTTGGAGTCTCTATGGGGCAGGCTGGGGGTTGCTATGGGGCAGGTTGGGGGTCACTATGGGGCAGGTTGGGGGTCGCTATGGGTCAGGTTGGGGGTCACTATGGGGCAGGTTGGGGGTCGCTGTGGGTCAGGTTGGGGTCGCTATGGGGCAGGTTTAGGGTCGCTATGGGGCAGGTTGGGATCGCTATGGGGCAGGTTTGGGGTCACTATGGGGCAGGATGGGGTTGCTATGGGGCAGGTTGGGGTCGCTATGGAGCAGGCTGGGGGTCACTGTGGGGCAGGTTGGGGTTGCTATGGGGCAGGTTGGGGGTCACTATGGGGCAGGCTGGGGGTCACTATGGGGCAGGTTGGGGTTGCTATGGGGCAGGTTTGGGGTCGCTA